ACTTGGCATAAAATGAAAGGTATAATGCGGAAACGATTCATTCCTGTTTATTATCACCGAGACTTGTTTCAAAAATTACAGAATCTTAAGCAAGGCCAAAGGAGTGTGGATGATTATTATAAAGAAATAGAAGTGGCCATGATCCGAGTCAACATTGAGGAGGATCGTGAAGCAACTATGGCTAGATTCATTGCTGGACTTAATCCCGAAATTGCCAACACCTTGGAGTTGTACCATTACATTGAAATAGATGAGATGGTGCAAATGGAAATGTAGATCGAAAGGCAACTAAAGAGGAGACATACATCTCGCAATGTTGCACCCACACCATCAAAATGGAGTCTGAATAACATAAAGAAGCCTACTCCTTCTCCTGTCAAAGAACAAGTCGAATCTTCAAAGACTCAGCAAGTAAGTAAAAACCCCAACAGAGGAAAATAAACCACTGAACAGTCAAGAGACATTAGGAGCTTTAATTGTCTTGGGAGGGGCCACGTATCTACACAATGTCCCAACCGGAATACAATGCTCTTACTTGGAAATGGTGAAATCGAATCTGAATCTGAAGAAGAATAAGATGCACCAACTGAAGTCAATGAAGACATAATCGTTGCAGACCCCATTGAAAGAGGAGAAGCATTGGTATAAAAAGAAGTTTTAACATTCAAGTCACGGAGGACAATGCACATAGAGAAAACATTTTTCATACCCGATGCCATGTTAATGAAAATGTATATTTTGTTATTATAGATGGTGGAAATTGTACTAACGTGGCCAGCATAATTATGGTGGAAAAACTTGACTTGAAAACGATGAAGCACCCGAATCCCTATAAGCTACAGTGGCTCAATGAAAGAGGGGAACTCAATGTTAACAAACAGGTGATAGTTCCATTTTCAATTGGCAAATAAAAGGATATGGTTATGTGTGATGTTGTCCCTATGCACGCTAGCCATCTACTTCTTGGAAGGCCATGGCAATACGACAAAAGGATTATCCATGATTGTTTTACCAATCTATACTAGTTCAACCATAGAGGGAAGAAGATTATCCTTACTCCTTTAAATCCGAAACAAGTTCAGAATGATCAAATCAAAATGAAACAAAGTGTTGAGGCTAAGAGGAAAGGAAAAACATCAGCAAGCTTTTGGAAGAAACTGATCTAAAGACAAGTGTTATTCTTCAAAGTGCTTGATACGAGAATGCCTATTGACTGAACGTAAGGTTGAAGATGATTATTCTAACTTTGAAAATGCATAATTTTTCTTTGACTTGCAGGATGTACAAAGGGACACCATTTGTCAAAATAAAGGTTTAGGAGACATGACCTTTGAAAATCCAAAAGATGTGTCTATTGAGCAGCAAAAGGAAATAATTTTTCATTCAAAGGACATGACCTTAGGAGGACCAATAGAAGTGACTCATGGGAACTCAATGATCATGCCTATTGGAAAATTATAGGACACCACTTTTGCGATGTCAAGGAACCAACACTTTTAAAACAAAATGACATGGGCATATCTCACGCAAATGCCTATTGAAGAGATCCCCATTTTTGACAAAACAACAACTATGGGATGGAAGAACGTTAAAGATAAATCACCTTTTGATTTGAGGATAAATCACTTTAGAGAATGGGGATGATGTGATCCAAATCAGAAACATAAATGTCCTTGCATCTCCAACCTTTCACAATAATCAAAGGGGGATTTTCTCTTACTTATTGTTTCTTTATACAATAGTTATAATAATAGTTTACATACATTACATTTATAGCTATGATGATGATATTATGTAATGTATGAAGTTACTATTATGAACCACATTTTTATATGCTTAATTATTATATTCCTTAGCTTATATTAAGTTTTATTTTGTAGGTGAATAGGCAGCCACATGATGGGAGCTAACTTAAAGCTAGCATTGGAGTCCAAGAGCTATGGAAATTTGACTAGGACAACTTCGGGACAGCTCAAGAACATTTTGGGACAAAGTTGCCAGCTATCCTCCGAGCTCATAATTGACTTGATCTGGACTTTTGAGCTAGCTAGAGACCTCATTTCAACTGGATAGTTACACCATCATCACCACCACGCAGAGTACTTCAAATATGATCTAGGTCAATTTTTGTGGATTCGTACCTTTTCACTAAGAGTTGCCATTTCAAGAAGTACCTTGTCACAAGGAACTGACCAAAGACTCATCTTCATATAATTCATCTATGGCCATCTCATCTTCAGCTCATACACATGGGAAGTAGCTCCATTGATGAAAGGTTACCTTATACACAAAGTGGCCTTTCATGACAAGTTGTCGCCCAATCGATGCCATGTCACCTAGACACATAATGGATGCCAAGTCACTCCTACATTGTTTTTTTCTTTATTCCATGGATGAGTCTACACCTTAAGCATCCTATGAACCCCATATGAGTGTCTCATGACCAGCCCACCCATGTGCCATGCGTGTGGAACTATTAGGCGCTAAAGTGAAGGGGCTTCTCTCTATTCGGCCAAAGCAAGGTGTTGCTTCAAGTTGGCGCCAAGATGAACCATAAGGAGACCATTCGGCTAAAGGGACTTCTTCATTCAACCAAGCAACATTTATTTTCATTTTAAGTCATGTATTTTGCCGAAAATACATGTATTTACTCGGCCAAACCTTTGCAAGCCTATAAATAGGCTTTGGCATTTCATTTGTAACTCAACCCTTTGATAATATAAATCTTGTGAGATTATTCTCTCTTCAAGTTCTTTTTAGAACTATATCGATTAAGCAAGCTTCTAAAGTTTGTGGCGTCAGTCCTTTCCATTGATACTTCGAATTCCTAGTTTCCATAACTAGTAGGTTCAAGTCCTTTCATACCATCCCTTATTTAAGTTTATAAAGAACGAGGTTAAACTTCTTATAGTTTTGTTTCCTCTTTGGCTTACTTAAGATACTACTTAAACCATCACCATATTCCATCACCTTCATACCAACATCATCACCATTTCATTATCATTCCTTCACCATTAAATCATCATTCATCTATCATCAAAGTCAACGTCCATTATCACCATTGGAGACCGAGACAGTTGCATTTGAAGGAGATTTCTACAACACTTCCGCAGCCTACCTTTGATAGCATCTCTATCCATTTTATTTCTTATCCTTTTCATTTCTTTATTTCATTTCTTATTTCAATTTAATCATTTATTTCTTTATATTGTGCAGATTTCTTATTAATTCAAGTGTAGCATTTGGTTTCTATCCTAGATCGGGAAACAACAAGGCTGCCAACTTCTTCATCATTGTAGAAGCTTGGATAGCCTTACATCAAGGACTAATTTGAAAAATAGAAAACTTATTATCGAAAAGAGGAATTGAAAGTACATATGTATTCTACGATGATTTAAGAGCATGTGATTCAAATTTAATTAAAATAGACTTAAAATGAAAGATGGATCGAAGGAATAAATAAAACATGTACTACAAAACTATCAAAATACATGGTCAAAATTTTCAATTTTTTGAGTAACCCGAAATTTTCTAATTTCAACTAGACTCGAACTCAAAAACCGAATTGATAATTCGAGTTGACTCATATAACTCGACTCCAATAGATGGAAATTGAAAAAAAAAACGATTTTTCAAGTCGAGTCTAGTTTTGCGATATAATGAATTCCCGGGTGAAAAAGGGTATCGACAATGAGTAAAAGCCAAATCCCCATTAGCAAACTGTTAAAATTGCCACTGAAATGTAACCACTGAAACAATCATTTTGCCACTCACCCAGGATCATTTCCGGACAATGAAAGATAAACGCAACCTGGTACGAGTGCAAAGTTCTAAATGAAGATATAACCTGCCTGAATAAATATCTTACTTGGTGTGTAGCTTGAAACCCACGTAAAGCACAACTAGCTTCAAAAACCCAATGAAAGGGTGGAAAAACCCACCAATTGTCATAAACCCATCATCAACTTCACAAGAGTAATAAAGAACATTTTTAAAAGAACATTCTAATGATGTCTGCCTATACAAGCATTTATAAGTTCAATGCCAAAATTGTTATGGATTAAATTATAAGAAAATGCTCAAGTCAAAAATGAATATTTTTAAACAACGTGGATATCATTTGATAATGAATACTTCGGATAGACTCAAACTTTCTATTGATCCAGGCACTTTCTCATGAACGAAGACATGATCTCTTTGGATATCAATAAATTTCAATATGAAGAAGAGCTTTATAAAGATCATATTGATTTTTATATAAGAAAAAAAAAGACGAGATTAACTGATGCTATCATTATCTGCACAATATATGTGAGTTTATCCAAGCAGGAAATAAAATGGATACTTCTATGAGACCACAAAAGGATACTTAAAAAATACCTAATTTTTTTATCATGGTCCACCAGTTTAGCCATCAACAAAAAAGCATGATTTAACTACCACTAAATTAGCCATATAACATCACAAGCATCTATCTTTGCCATGGTAAAAAACACACGAACATGGCTTAAAGAAAGAAACTGATTTCCTAAAAGCCATGGCACTCACACATGTTTAACACACGGCTTAACAAATGTGACGAATGCACCTAAACAACGGAAAATGTTCTTCATGGTTAAATTATTAGTATAACCTGAAATCTGACCATCAATATTAACAAGCAAGAAGGTAACCAGAACTCTAGATTTGTGTTGGCTAAGGGAAGGATGAAGAAGATACAAGGAAAAATTCAAAGCTGGCTAAAAACTGTACATTCCGAAGAATTTTACATTCAGAAAATGATATATCATACAAATAATGATAATCAAAACTAAGAAACTAGATAATGAAAGTTAGTGTAGGAGCCAGGCAAAATCATTCACCAATTACATTTAGTTACATTATGATGAGATTTTTCCCAAATTCCGATAAGCAAATCCATCCCAGGGATGGAGAAAGAATCTTACCAGGGAAAATATTTGTTAAACTGGATGCAAAAGAAGAGCATAAAAATCCAAGTTTCATTTCTTCTTTTTCTGTGCACTGGATCTTGAGAACATTGGCAATTTCACTCTGAACAATGACTTATGAGACTTCTTGTCTTTGGGATAGTTGCTAGCATCTTCGGATGTGACATAGTCAGATTGAAGGTGGTCTTTTTCCTCATCATGATGGTTGGTATCTCTAAGCAGCCGCAGCAATTCCATCGCACTTGCCTTTCCTTTATCACTTCCATTAACAGAAACATCGAAAAGGGCAGGGAATATATCACATTCATCCATCACTAATTGACAATATTCAACACGTTGCGAGCACAATGTGAGGAGAATAGCCAGTGCATGCTCTTGGTCCTCGTGACTGCCAGTCTCGATTAACATAGCAATAGAAGTAATGCATCCCGGAGTTTCAGTAATAGAAAGCCGAGCATCTTGGTTATTTAACAAATTTCTCAACACTACTATGCAGTGCCTCGCAAGAGTAGTATCTTCTAGGAATGGGACGAACTTTGGAATGCATTCCAAAGATGCTATATTGGAACAAATGTCGTGGTTTGAGGACAGATTGTGCAAAATTTTAATGACTTGTTCCTGGAACTCCATGATCTTTGAGTCAAGAATATTTAATATGGAAATAAGAGCCCCAGATGCAGCAATCTTAGATTTGCTACTGCTTTGTGCAGACAATACTTCGATAATGTCAAGAACCTCTTTAGTCACTTCTGAGTTGAGAGACAGTGACAGCAGGCTATATGCATCTTCATTTAAGTACCGTATGCCATTCCTGCAAGAAGCTCACAAAGAAATGAAAAAGTCACAAATAAGCCCACCTATTTCAAAAGCTCCATGCGCATAAGGTAAATTATAACTAAGACAATCAAATGTATCCTTAAATGATCAAACAACACGCAATTCAGTGACAGACATCACAAGCTTTATAAGAGCATGTGACTGATCCATAGTCTTTTAGAATCACCGGGCAGAGCACCGACAAGGAAATTAGGGAATATCACATACAAGCACATTGAACTTCAGCAAAGTTTAGATGATAGAAACAATAAAAAACAATCCAAACTAATACATCTCACATCATAAAACATGGTACAGATGCCGCAAGTGTGACTCATTACCTGGTTTTGCTCAGAAACATCAACAACAACTGAAATCCAGCCTTTTGTGCTCTAATATGACGCATATCACGAGCAAGGCTTAAAAATTTAATCAAAGGTTCAATGAAATTCTTGGATGGCATGGACATACAAGCTAAATCGTCACATTTCAAGTGATTTTTCATATCTTCAACAATCTCGTACTGTGATTCCCAATCAAGCTCAGGAAGGCTACATAGAGACTCCACATCCATCTTGCATGCATTGCTAGGATTTTGATATTGGCAAAGATCGTCACTAGTCTGCTTTCGTATCAATCTTAAGCCATCTGCAACCTTGTTTGGTGATCCATCAGAATTATAACTGGTATCTAAAGATCCAATTGAGATATTGCTGATGTCCACTGGAAAGCGCATATCATTTATAGAACTACCGAAACTAGCTATGGAAGTGGAAGAATTTTCCAATGAATGAAGCATATCTGATTGCAAGCTTGGGTCCTTAATGGTGATTCCGTACTTTGTACACCAATTTGATATCAGATCCTTCATGACAGCATTTGGTGTCAATGACAGATGGGCCAGTTTCGTTTCAGTTTTTGGGCACATATCATTACCATCATCAAACCACTTCTGAATCCAAACCCTTTCAAATGTTTGTCCAGAAGCAATGACAACAGGATCATACATCAATCTTAAAGATATGGGGCATTTAAATTCCTCAGGAGGTGAAGATCCACTTAACTTATCAGATTGAACATCATACTGCTGATACTCCTTCCGAGATTCCACATCAACAGAGTGAGCAGATACAAAATTAATACCGGGGTTAACTGTAAATACTCCATTATGATCAACTGTGTTGTCTGTTTGCTCTCTGATAATCAAATGACCGTACTTCTTCAACAGATACAAAAGATATTTCAAGATTTTCGTTTTTTGTAGGTCAGTATCGCTGACTTTTTCCAGCAACTTCTTGATAGATCTTTTCTCAATCAAGATGGTTGTTGAAGATGTAATATGAAGTTGAGATGCTGCAGTTTGAAGAGCTCTCATTTCAGCATATTCCAGTGAATCTGGCGTTGCTGCTCCCTGATGAAGCAAACCTCTGACGACCTTCCCAGCTTCGGCATCAAATTTATCAGGGACAAAATTTGCAGCTCGCAAATCATCAACTATTTGAGAGATCTGCACTGACACATTAAATTACCAGCTTGATCAAAGAACTGAACTACGGAAAAATGGCATCTACTACTAAAAATATTATTGATTTGACAGTAAAGTAATTCCATTGTCACAGGTTCAAGAACAAACATAGCTTTAGGAAAGCAGGGCTAGGCATACAACCGACCATCATGAGCACCAAAAGAATTAGCTTCATTCACTTAGCTTTCCTTTTTCCTTTTAACTATCTCTAATTCCAATTAAGTTGTAAACTTCAAGCATGGAAACAAGGTTAAAATTAAATCAACAAGTGGAGAAAAGGCAAGGCTTTCTTCAAAATATCCAAGTTTACAAATAATCCAAATTTGATATGTTGGCACTGTTCGGCCATCCTTAATCACTATACTAGGAACATTTCACCCCATATACTAGAGAATAAACATGCATATACAAGGAGTTCAGTAGGTCTACTGCTAAAATTGCCCAAGATAAAAGCAAGCTATTTTAAAACACATTGGGATTCGATCAACCATTTACCGGTCACTTGCTCAGGACAATGAGAAACAAAAATAAAAGAAATTATAGAGAACGATAAATAGAAAATCAAAAAGATATGTAATTTGACTAACCTCAACAACCAGCATAACTGGGACCATACTCTGAATCTGGCATAACCCTTGTTCTAACAAGTTCTTTGCTTTTTTACATCTTGAAACTATGGCATCTGTCGTTACTGCCTGAAAATAATTGCAGAGAACTATCAACCAAATGATATTAACTAGATCAATTGAATTGGGTGATAAAATAAAGAGAAAGCCTAATTTTCAATTTAAGCCCACAAACACCAACAAAACATTCCATGGAGGATCTATCTCCATAGAAGATGCCAATAATGCAAAATTTGAACCCTTTGGAAGACTACATATCATCAGATATAAAAATAGCCACGCAACAGCCGGATACTCCTAGTTTTAGAATAGCAATAAAACTTCCCTTCATGATAAGTGAGACAATAATCACGAAAATAAGACTAACTACAAAAACGCACCAGATACAGTTTACTTGACTCGCTGCAGTACTGAAGTAGCAACTTTCCTTTCTCAATTGCATTATTCAGTAAGCATAGTGCCTTTATTCCCGACGAGCATCTAGGTCGAGCAGCTTCAATTTCTGGAAAGATCCTTTGAATTCTATCAACAAACTTCCTAAGCTCCATGCACATCATGTGATGCACCTACAACCAAAGAATAACCATGTTTCAGATGAAGATCAAAAACCTTAAAACAGGCATGGTATAATGAAATGATCCTTTTATATAAGTAAAAACATAAGTTTAAGCATATCTGGAAAATCTGCGAATTACACTCAGTAACAATCAAACTACACAACTATAGTTTGAATTGTAAATATTATAGTAAAAATATATTTTGTTCAAATATATAGGCTGCAGGCCGAATATAGTTACTTAAATTCAAATACCATATTAGAACAGAAATAGAGAACCACACTCAGTAATTGTACCTTAAAGGTACTATGATAGGAATAAGACGGAGTCTCCACAACTTCGATATTATCAGTCCCCATTCAAAAGATATATCCTGACTAATAAACAAAATACACAAATCAAATGGTTAAACAGATCAAGAAGTCCAAACCAACTTCACAAGCTCTCGGACTTATCATGCATCTATAAAGCTATAAAAGATGAAAACCCTTTTTCCATATTGATTCATCATGTGACATGTTTAGGTGTAGCTCTATGATTTGTATTAACTTTGCATCTTTAGCTCATACCTCACAGACTTTGTGCTAAACTTCAGTTAAAGAAGAAAGATATATAAAACATGTCAACTAAGCGTCTAGGCCTTAGTCCCCACGCTAATCCCCATCAATTAGCCTGCTTAGGCATGATATACATAAGAATATGAAAAATGACTTTGACCATATCTTTCAATATATTGGAGGGAAAGGTAAGAGAAACTCACCTAAAAAAGCGTCAACCAGAGCAATGATAGGAATTTGTTTATGGATTGCTTATTTTTAAGTATAGAACAACACCAAAGGTAGAAGAACTTGAACCAGCAGAGACAAAGGGCAAAATAAAGACAACCAATTTTAAAACCAATTCAGAAGTAAAATTCTCGCAGCTCGACCATAGATGGGCAACATGAAAAGAAAACAATAATTCAAGAAAAGTTTCGAAGATAAGCAAGCAGGTTGCATAATCTTGTTGCTCAATAAACAGTTTTTTTTTTTTTGGCTTACTGATAATCCTAACACTCAAAACTCCATCTTGATAGTATTGATAATTAAAAAAAAAAAAACTCCAGAAATGAAAGAGGCCTTCAATAACCCACCAGAAAAGAAAATGATCGCCAATTAGAAACTTTTAGCTCTTAGAGCTCTTCAAGATAAGGCAACCAATAAAACCGAAAAACCCAATAGGAAAGCAAAAATCTTAACATCTGGAGATCAAAAGTAGCATATGAGATTCTTTTTTCTAGACCGAGAACTTTTGCAAAGAAGCAGCAGAAGATAATGAAATTAGAAGACAGAAAGAAAGTTTCTCAATTTTGAATTTTAGGCGATGATAAAACAAAGATAGAAAGAAAAAAGCAAAATAAAGACCCGTCAACGAGCTATCCCTATCCTTCTACAACCTCCACTTATAGTATCAGATTCTTCCAAGTCGGATTTAACCTTCGCCACTGACTTTTTACAGAATGAAGTTTTCAAACGTTCCTAAATCCCCCACGCTTGTAGTGTATACGATTATTCACAACCGTTGATCTTTGCTGTGGTTGAATCCAACGGGCAACTGAGGCTTTAGGGGTGGCTGGTGATACTTACCAAAGAGACGCTGACGTTTCTACGCTGGGACATGGCAGCCTCTCTTGAACGGCCATGCTGCCAGGTAATTTCGTACATTTGTTCGTATATTTATATACTTTTTGCATTTTATAGGAGTAATATTCAAAATATATATATATATTTACATAAAAGTTAAAATATTCATATTATATATTTTCTGAATAAATAAGCTAAGTAGACCATTATTTGTATTTCTTGTTTTGATAATTGAAAATTATGTGTCGTTAGTGGAATATATAAAATAGTTGTTGACTTTGACTATAAATTATAGTTATACTTCTCCGCCCTTTATGTGAGAATTTATAATTACTCAAAAAAAGAAGAGAATTTATACACATTTTTATTTGGTACTATCTTATTGGTTTATACTTGAAAATAATAATCTTATTCTCTTTGATTCTTTCTTGGTGTTATTTATGCATAATAAAAATAAATAAAAGACGAATGAGAACAAAAGGTATGAAAAATAGAGAAATGATTTTGTATTATTTGTCAAATGTAAGGTATATATATATATTCTTTTCTAAATTTTTTATTTATAACACAAAGAGTAGTTGTTATATAGAATTTAAGGCATAAAATTTTTAATAATAATTTATATTAAAATCATATTTAATATGTAAAATATTAATAATAATAGACATCCATTGGTAATACTTAATACATATATTGAATAGTCTAGATGATTATAAAATATTATATATTCAGAATATTTTCACATACACTCTGTAGATCTAATTGTTCGAACTCTGATTCTCTAAGAAAAATAATATCCTTTTTTATCATTAAATTCACTCGATGATTTAAGAAAATTTTGAACCATAATTATTTAATATGTTTAAATTACTTAATCAATTATTATTATTATATTTTTATTTATTTATTTAAAATAAATAAGACACCAAAAGAAATAAAGCATCTAACTTTTTTATGGTTATTGAAGGTTAACGGAACCTGAAAAGGCAGAGAAAAAACATTTTATCCTTATTTTATTTTTTTTTTGCGTAAATTACTCGTTTAATACATAAACTATCAATTTTGGTCAATTTTACTAACTAAACTTTCAAAAAAATGGCACTTTATTTTTTATGGGTAAATTACATCATTCAACTAGCTTCTCACTTCTATTTTGGTACTATATTTTATAAAAATTAAATTTAACTACTTAATTTACAAAATGCTCTCATTGTAATCACTCTAATTTATTTTATTAATAATTTTTGTGATATAGAAAATTTTATTATTATTTTAATAATATATAATTAAAATAACAAATTTGAAAGTTAGAGTGATTAAATTAGGAGTAATTTGAAAGTTAAATAATTAAATTTAAAAAAATTAAACTTTAGTGACCAAAATAGAAGTGATAATATAGTTGAGTGATGAATGATGCAATTTACCCTTAAAAAGGTGTCACAAAAATTAAATATTAGGTATGGTTTTAAAAAAATTATAGTTTATGTACAAAACGGATTGAAACTAATAATTTAGGTATTAAACGTCTTCATGGCATTTTCACTTCAATAAAAAAATGTTAAAATGTTAACATTTTCGGTTGCACTCAACTTTAAAATTTTATGTTTTTATAACATTTTCGGTCGCGTCTATGCCCTATCGTTCCTTAGCTTTAAATTAGGTTGTCATACAACAAAATTTTCTTAGTCTTTATCATGTGAGAAAAATGAAAGTGAACATATAGTGTTCTGTTTAGCACGAATCAAGTGACTTTAGTGATTAAAGATATGATTATTATTTCTGAAATTTTTAGATTCAAACATCAACAACTACATAATATTTGAATGTTCAATATCGAATATTTAAGAATCATTTTCTATTTAAAGCTCAGATAGTTAAAAATTAATTTTAAAGGAATAGATTTAGAATATAATGTACTCCAATTGCTTGATGTAGAAAGTAATACTACTTTATATATATATATATATATATATATATATATATATATATATATATATATATATATATATATATATAACTTTAATTTGATTTAATATTTACAAATTTGATAATATTATAACTGTTATGGTATCATTTTTCATTATTTATTATATGCCAAATAATTATATTTATAATAATGTTTAATATAAAAATCAGTGCCCAAATTATATAGCTTTTTTAAAGTGATGTCTAAATTTTTTCGATCCATCCAGGTGCCTAATGTTACAAACGTTATCACTAGGGGTATTAAAAAAATCTATAACTATTAACCATAATCGTTAACTGATATAATCATTAAATTTAACAGGTTAATTAACTGAATCGTTAATATTAAACGGTTTTGTGACGTCCCGAATTTCGGGTTAATAGATTCGGGCTAAACTAAGAAGGTTTTGGTTACACCCAATAGATGTTGGAAAGTCTTAGTCTAAGTTTGAATTGGATAGCTCTTGGCTTAAGCCCAAATAGCCATAAAGTGACATTTTAATCTTAGGACAAAAATGGAGTGACTAGGTGTAACACCCTTAACTCATATCCTACCCGAATACAAGTCCGAGGTGTCACATTAACTTTTCAAACTTTGACTCTTACTGAAAATCCCGGGAATTTTTAAAACTTTTATTAAAACGAAATACATTAATTTACATAAGACCATAAAATACAAAATCGATCAGAGTATTCATAATTAACACTTATTACATGCCCACATTCTATACATAACCAAGTACATACTTTGTCAATTACTTCTGATCTGATCTCTTAGTAGTATTGCTGTTCGTGCTACTTCTATTTCCACTTTTCCTGATTCTTTGTACCTACGTGTAAATCACTTACACGCTAAGTCATAGACTTAGTGAGGCATATAAAACATATAATATTTCATATAACATAAATCATACATAAACATATACCATCATTATCATTAAGAAACACACATAACATCATATGGTTCATGTAACACATTTCAAAACACTTACCTTTGATAACCATTTATAAACTCATCGTATACATATCACATTCAATATGTTTGTTTGATCTCTTTATTAGCCCATGTACACTATTGAGAACTCAAGGTATGTGAATACATTGAGGTTGTGCACCAATGCTGTCACCACAACTCGTATCAATTCCCTCATGGGGCACCGAACCTTAGTTCAGTATTCGTCCCGAAGGACCAGTCCATAGATTCCGAAGAACCTAGGTAAACAGTCCATATGTCCCAAAGAACATAGGTAAACAGTTCATATGTCCCGAAGAACATAGGTAAACAGTCCATATGTCCCGAAGAACATAGGTAAACCCTCGACCCTTGGCATGCCAACTATACCACTAGCTCTCTTATCACATAACATGGCATTAACATTCATAACAGTTCAATTTACTTATTCATATCCTTTTTCTTATGAACATATATCTTTTTTTTTCAGTCACGTACCAAATGTACGTGTAATCATTGATCTTATAATCACATGTTCATTCTCTTCGGTCACATACCATATGTATGTGTAAACATATATCTAATATCATATAACACGCATCACAAATGCATGTATTCACATAAATCATTTCTTATAGCTTTGTTCATATCACATATTCATATAAGCTCAAATCTTATTTCACATATACTTTCCATATAACATATATATCTCATAATCACACAAATCATAACATTGATCACCAATCAAATAACATTTTAGGAGTTACTTCTTACCATAGTAACTCCATCACTGGCTCATCGCAAGCCAAATGTTTATTCAATAATATAAGTACAAATAAAATGCACTCACCTTAGCTTTGATTTGATTCGATTCTAATCCTTCAGTTGATCCAGAACGAAATCATGTTCTATATCTACAAAATCATACATAGATCTATATCAGTATCATAACTAATATACTCTAATGGTTCACTCTTTAGACCAAGAGAAAAGTCAATTTCATCTTTTAATGAAGGTATGCATCGATGCACTACTGATGCATCGGTGCATAAAATGTATTCGATGTTGTATTATTGTTGAGATGTATCGATGCACTCCTTATGCATCGATGCACCAATTGCATTCGATGTTTCATTATTAATGGGATGCATCGATGCACTACTTATGCATCGATGCATGAATTGCATTCGATGTCTTTATTTTAAAAGAGTGCATCGATGCACTACCAATGCATCGGTGCACATTCAAACAATTTCTGGGTTTTAACCTTGATGCATCGATGCACAATGAATATGCATCGATGCACTCTGCCCAGAACCTCTTTTTGAACCCGAAAATCATTCACTCTTCACTCAAATGCTTCATATTTCATCCCATTTCATATTCCTAACTTTCATATACATGTTTAAACTCATTTATAATAAATTATCTCGTCTTTAACCTTAATATCCTCTCCTCTTTATTAACTTCAAGAATCATACCAGATTTTTAACATGTTTTAAATCTAATTCTAACACTCCATATTCCTTAATTAGATTGATGACAAGTCAAATTCCTTCTCAAAATTCACTTACTAACTCTTTTCCAGAATTTCCTTAAGAAACTCATTTTCTTTAATCTTTCATAACTTCTTTATCTTTTGATTTTAGGACAACTTAAGCTTTCCATAAGCTTAAGTATTACCTAATGATCAAAACTC